CACGGGCAAGCAGAAGGCCAAAGAACGGCAGAAAACGCCTTCCAAGAAAGGTAAGGAGCGTCGGCACCTTCTCCGCAAGGAAAATCTGTGGGGTGTGGGGGGGATGCAGTTCGCTTGGGTGTTTAACAGCGCCTTAATGACACTTTAAAAAGCACCTAAAGCCCTAATAACGCGCCTCCCCCTGTCCCGAGGCAATGACTGTGTAGCCCCTCTGTAAAATAGTGCGGACACTGCAGTGGTGTCGGTGGGTTCCTGCCTTGGGATAACTTGGTCTGTATTTCAGAGGGCGGCGCGTTTGCCCTGTTATCTCTAAGGTTCGCCCCAAACTTTTCCTCTACCAAAATTCCCGTTTCTGTGACCCCCTGCTCCTCCTCACTCATTTTTCAGAAGGAAGCGACAGATGACAAACAACTGCTGTAGATTTGGAGACAAGAATAGGTATTGCACACAAAAAAGACGCCCAAGTTTGCTTTTCTGTAGTGTGGCTTGCGGGTTTTTTTTCCCTTCTCCTATTTTGCTACCGTCCCATCCTCCCTCCCTCCGACTCACCGCACACGGTGAACGGTAGGAGAAGGCAGGTAAGGAGGTGGCTTGCATTGCAGCCCGGCGGCGTGTGAGCCTGCCCGCTGTCTCCGGCTGCCGGGCTTGGACCGCTTCTGGCAGGCGCTTTCCCGCTTGGAACTGAAGCGGGGAGCGAGGAAGAAGCATCCCAGGAATTCACTTGGCCGGGTTGCTCCCTACGCTCACCCGGTGGCTATTTTCATCAGATCCCATCCCTGAGAAATTTTTCCTTTATTGGGTCTTCCTATGAAATCGCAGCATAGCTGCTTATTCTACTTCTCTAGTCTGTGGCTGTTTTCCAAGTGAAAAATGCCCCCTTGGAATCACATGGGATACATATGTGCATCACACTCGCTGGAGGTACTGGCAGAGAGGGACACTTATCTTCGAGAAACCTTATTTCTCGCTGCCACTGCTCTTTGTAACCAACAGGTGACAAGAAGTTGGGAGAAAAATCACCTTTTTGACAGGAAAATTTGGCTCTGATTTAAAAACATTTGAAGGATTGGAGGTGCGGGGGAGGGGGTGTCCTGAAAGTCCAGCCATCCGGGATAGCTGGTGGCAATTTTTACTGAGAGCTTGGGAGTTTTCAAAGGAGAGGGCAATTTTTCTGTGGAGAAAAGGAAAAAAAAACACAACAGGTTGGTATTTTTGGCCAGCTGCATCCAGCCCTGCAGCGGGTCGGCTGCCTGGCCTTTACTGGAAACGTCAACATTTCTGGGGTAACATTTTTCTGATTTTTACCAATGCCGGGGGTGGGAGAAGAGGGAGGAGGACACCAAAAAAATCCCCTGCAAGGCTCTTCTTCGCCCCTAACCCTCTGCCGCACCCAAGCCTGCCTGCCCACCTGCCTGCGAGGGCAGGATGGCCCCGTCCCAGGCCCCCAGCTCCCCTGTCCCTGCTCACCCCCTGCCCTTGGCCGGGGAGGGTCAGGGCAGGGTGAAGCCACTGGAGGGTTGGGGTGTTTGGCTGGATTTAATTTTTTTTTTAATCTGCTCAGCCAAACCACAAATGTTAGAAAAGAAAACGAAGACTCCAGCCAAGCTTTTTCTCTTCTATTTTTTTTTCTTTTGTTTTGGTTTTTTCTTCATTTTTTGTAACTATTGCTTACATTTGGATCTGCTTCAGAACAACTATGGTGCTGTTTCAACATAAAAAGCCAAACCATAGCATTTAGAAATTGCTGAGACAGCACCTTCCTTTTGCCTGCTTTTGGGTTTCCCCCCCTCAAATTGCTCCCCAGTGAGTTTTTTCCAGGCACAGCGCTTCAGCAAACATTCCCTGAAGCCCAATATCTTGCAGGGCAGGTGGGATTTGCCCTCCCCCAGCAGCCCCAGGGGTCTCACCCAGAATGGGTACCCAGGAGAGGCAGGTGATGGCATTCCCCCAGCTTGGGGGTGCAGACTGGGGACCTGCCAGCCCTGGGGGGAAGACGACACCAGACCAGGTTGCTCCAAGCCTCATCCAGCCTGGCCTTGAACACTTCCAGGGATGGGGCATCCACAGCTTCTCTAGGCAACCTGTTCCAGTGCCTCACCACCCTCTCCGGGAAGAACTTCTTCCTGATATCCAATCTAAACCTGCCCACTTTCAATTTGAACCCATTACCCCTTGTCCTGCCACTACAGGCCCTTTTGTTTTTAAAGTAATTGGAGACAGAAATTGGTGTCTGGGTGCTTAAATAGGTGGATAAGGACTGATTTGGGCTCCTGTCCTGATGCTGCCCAAAATGCCAGTGTAATCTTGCAGTCTGGGTGCTGAAAAGGGCTGTGAACACTTTCACTGACATAAACCCCGTGCTGGGGCATTCAGTCCCCGTCTCTGATCCAGGAACCAGACTGCAGCATGGGACCTGACTTTTCCAGCTGGGGCATTCCTCAAAATGCCTGGTGTCGGAAGAAATGCCGACGGCTGGGGAGGTTTGATGACAAACATCGCGAAGCAGAGTGATGCTCGCCTCGCTGGGGGCTGGAAACCTGTTTGGATGGGAACAAACCAAAAGGAGCTGCCCCAGCAGTGTCCTGCCATGGCCCTTGGGTGGTACTGAAGCCCAAGCAACACTTGTTCTGCGGCAAGACAGGCTTGCATGGAAAAAAAAAGAAGGCATTAATTAGCTCTTTCCCACAATGTGTTTTCATCAAAGGCTGCAAAATAATAACTAGTGCCTCGGTGTTAAGTGAACCCATTAAAGTTAATTGAGCAAATTGAGTAAAGCAGCTTAATGCCTCCTCCTGGTGCGTCTGGCTTCTCATATTTACGACACCATGTAATCTTTGGGCTGGTGGTTCTGGTCGGCATCCAAGCTGCTTCCCCACTTGCCTGGCTTGGTGCCTCCCATCTCCTTGACCCTTGAGGAAGCCCGTCCTGCTGCGTTCAGGGGTAAATCATCCCTTTACTTTCACCCCAGGAGGACGACCGGGTGCTTGCGCCGGGCAAGGTAAAGCAACAGGAGCAGCAGACACAGCGTAATGAACACGAATGCCTCGGAGTTCAACCCTCCAGGGTGTAACGGTCCTTTTGCTCCTAGACAGGAGAAATCCAAGTTCTGATTAGCAGCTGGTTAGAGCTATTGCAGAGGAGCAGGGAGGGAGGGTGTGCTGTGAATGGGGGGGGCATGTTTTTGAGGAACTAGGGAAAAAAGAAGTCCTATTCATTAGAAATTCCCTACAAAATGGTTGTGTGTGGCAGACCTTGTGCTCAGGAGGGGCGGCAGCATCAGATGGTGCCCTCCTGCGCTTTGAGAACTTTGACCCCAGTGCAGCACCACCCCAGGCAAGTGCTCTGTATAGAGGCTCCAGAGATGAGCCTGTGCCCACCCCAGCACTGCCCAAGGGGAGACCCTAGCCCCATGAAGCCCCAAAACCCAAACTGGGAAAACTGGGCTGATATCAGAACCAGGTTAGCGAGCAAACGCCCCTCTGATGGATGGGCAAGGGGGCAGGTGTCGATTTTGCAGATCCCTTTTGTTTCTTTCTCTGAGGGCAGAGAAACAGGGGGTTTTGATGATGGGAACAGCTTCCCGGGGAGACACAGCCGATGTTTATGCTCCTCCTTTGGTTTCTCCAACAGATGGTGTGAGCCTCAAAATGATTGAAGACCTGAAGGCCACGATTGACAACATCGCTCAGGAGGTTGCTCTACTGAAGGAAAAGCAAGCGCTGCAGACAGGTAAAGGACCGGCCGAGGAAGGCACGGCTTCGCTTTTGCGCGGAGCTGCTTATAAAGCGGCTACAACTGCTCCGCACATTGGGATAAGAGATGCCCAAAGCCCCGCTGGGGATCAAAGCAAAGTGTGACTTCGTTGCAGTTCCTCCAGGCAGCTGAAGCTCCTCAGGCAGTTCATGATGAGTTGTGCAGCGTATGCCTCCCGCCCCCTCTTTATGTGCTAGAGCTTCCCGGTTTTAAAACTATGGATGGGTATTTCTATGACACTAATCCAGATGTTCATTTTCCTTTATGAGGTAGAGGGATGGGTAATGGATTCAGTCCATGGTGAACGATGCTTCAGTCAAATGTAGCTTCCGCCTTCCTCTGAACCTCAGTGGAACGGTGACAGGGTCTGCTATACATACCACCATATTGCCCAGGGAACCTCATGGAGGTCAGTCCCACCAGCCTTCATGGAACACACAGAGGCCAGTCCCAAAATCTCCATCTTCCAGTCATGGTTCTGCACTGGCACCAACAGGAGAGGAGTTTGCACAACACGAAACAGAAATGAGCTGAAAATGCAAGTTAAGGAGAATTTTCTCTTTAAAAGAAAAAGAACACAAGCAAAATCAGGGCTTTAGATCCAAGCTGACATTCATTGGTCGGGACATTAATGCGTAGCTCTGATTAGTTATTGTCTGGTAGAGTATCCTGCACTCTCAGGGTTTAGAGCTTAAGAAAAGAATTGCTAATCTTAACAATAAAATCAGAGGCAAGTAGAAATTTCCTCTGAAGACCTCAGCCTATGCAAGCACAACTCTTCTGATCAAAGCCTGTTAAAAAAGACATTTTTCTCACGCTTACATAATTAAGATGATTGAATTGCAATTGCAGACATTTTTCCAAAGCACACCAACACCCCGGCAGCGCCCACAACCATCCTTCCCTCTGTAACACTGGCCAGAGAAAGCGTGGAGAGCGAGGCCAGGGGAAGGGGCAGGAGGACCATGTTGTGGCTCCGGCAGAGCCCAGGAGGGTGGCGGGAGCACACCCAAGGTCCATATTTCCAGGCAGTTTGCAGGTGGGGAGGGCACATCCCCGCGGCTGTGCCCTGGGTTGGAGGGAGAGGAGCCCGGGGCTTTACCTTGCCTGGCTGCTGAGGGGGGGTTGGTGCGCAGCCTAAGAAATGGAGTTTTTAGGTCAGCCGCCGCATTTGCTGCTGCCGCCTCTTCCTGGGCGCCGTTTTTAAAACCAATTCCCTCTCTGTCTTTTTGTCCCGTTCGTGCGGTAACCTCTCAGTTTGCCTGAAAGGCACCAAAATTCACCTAAAGTGCTTTCTCGCGTTTTCGGAGACCAAGACGTACCACGAGGCCAGCGAAAACTGCATCTCGCAGGGCGGCACGCTCAGCACCCCCCAGAACGGGGAGGAGAATGACGCTCTCTACGACTACATGCGCAAGAGCATCGGCTCCGAGGCGGAGATCTGGCTGGGCCTCAACGACATGGCGGCGGAGGGCAAGTGGGTTGACATGACGGGCGGCCCCATCCGCTACAAGAACTGGGAGACTGAAATCACCACCCAGCCCGATGGTGGCAAGCTGGAAAACTGCGCAGCCTTGTCGGGGGCCGCCATCGGGAAGTGGTTCGACAAGCGGTGCAGGGACCAGCTGCCCTACGTCTGCCAGTTCATGATCGTGTAGTGGCGGGGGCTCCCCCCTGCCCGCAACCCGGGTCTTCCCCCTTGGCAGCAGGATTATAAAGCTATAGGTACATGTACGCGTACACGTACATTCGCACGCGCACGTCTTCAAGTAGAGTCACTCTTTGGCAAGAGAGTCCTCGCGGCTCGGTGTCGTGTTAGAGAGCGTTAGAGCATTTCGTTTGGCCACGTCCAGCCCCGATAGCAGCTGCACCGTTCTCACTAAAGCACGATTTATAGATATATTTTTTTTTACACAGGGAATTTATGAGGATGTCTTGGTTGTTTCAGCAAAGAACCAGCGCAGCAGTCCATCCAGCCTGGCAAACAGCCGCCTCGGCTGCCTGGGGCCGTGGCTCCGCAATGTCCTTTCCCATCTTGCTCAGCTCTGGTGGGACACCAGCATAGCAAGTTCCCACTTTCTTCTCCTGTTTTCTTCCCCGTAAGCCCTGACAGTGATCCGTGGGAGCTCCTTGTTCCTCACAGTGCCCCGATTCAAGTTTCTTGGGATCGAGGTCCTGTCCTGACTAGCAGAGTTACTCCTGCTTTGCATTGAGAGAGACAATTGGGCTTATTGGTTGAGTCCCAGCTGCTCAACAGGTTGTCCAACAAGCCCAGTTACGTGCATGAATGCGTTAGTAAGTCAACCCATACCTGTTACTTGCTGAGAAGACGGGTGTCCTTCCCAGGAGCATTCCCCACTTTGCTGGTCCTATTAGCATCAGCCAGAAGCCAGTTTCACTGATATCAGCTGGAGAGTGAGACCCATTGCCAGATCTGTTAAGAAAAAAAAAAAAAATCCCATAGGAAGCTTTATTTATGCTCCAGCATCATGGGGGAAACAGCAGTGACTTGCAGCGTAGTCAGTCAAATATATTTTTGGAAATAGAAGGTAAAAATATTACGGAAATAGGAGAAACATAATGCCGTTGGGGAATATGCTGCCATATGAAAAACAACCGTGTGTTGAAAACGAGCCCCAGGACAACTCACTTTAATGCTTCAGGGATCATTTGACCTGCTTAAGTGATGGAAACCCAGATAAAATAGTCCAGTCTTGTTGGTCCAGGCACCGTCCTCAGCAAGCACGAATCTCCTGAATGCTGTCTGTGCCTCTAAGGTCACGCCCAGCTGAAGGTCTGGCCCCTGTAATTTTTTGCTGAGAAAGATTAAAGAAAAAAACTCCAGATTGAAATAAACAGGAACAATGGGAAAGATGCACAGGCCACCCCAACAGCTTCGCAAAGCTTTGCTGGCTGTTGGCTGAAAGGTATCAGCGGTTCTTTGCAGGCCGGCGCTTGGTAATAACCCCCCTGGTTTGGGTCACGTCACCTGTGCTGCCAGGTTGGGGGTCTCAGGATGCGACGCTCCTGGGGAGCCCACGGGAGAGGTGTTTCGAGGTGCTGCTGTTGTTTAAAAACAGCACGCTGGTGGGGCTTCCAAGACGTCGAGAGGGAGCGAATCCGGAGGGATCGAAACACGCACGAGTGCAGAGCGCGCGCTTCTGGGGCTGTCACTGTTGCCAAACGCTGCGCTGTTCAAACGACTATAAAATAAAAATATATATATAGCTTGCTGAAGGAATGGCGTGGCGTCAATGTGGCTGGAGTGCTTTCTTCTCCTTGTGTTTCTCTTCAGAGCAGCTCCAGGGATCTGTCAGAGGGTTGGAGATATCAAAGGCAGAGGGGAAAAGCAGAAAGTGAGAGCCCTGTGATATGGTTTATAGGATTCCCACCCACCCCCTTCCCCTGTTATCATCCCAGTCACATGCCATGTGCAGGATACAGGCAGGGAATCCTGTTATAGGAAAATAAGATTTCCTTCCTCCCCTCCCCTTGCTGCTGGGAAATTTCACTCTGAAACGCGAGCCAACCCAGAAGGTCGGTCCTTCCCTCACCCCCCGTTTGGCAGCAGTAGGGAAGCCGGGGGAGGTGGCACCTCCCAGGCTGCCTCCCACCTTCTCTGCAACAAGCAGAGCTGCAGCCGCGCCGAGCATCCTTCTCCTTCCCCCTCTGCGGTGGAGACAACTTCTTCCTTCCTCCTCCTCAGCATTCTGCGGAGGAGGGAAGGCCGTACATGAAGAAGACAGTGCTCCACACCCATCTGGAAGGCTCCAGCTGCTGCAGAACTGCACGAGGTTAGGTCTCTCTTGCACAAGAGGACAGCCCTTCGCCGAGCTTTACACTAGACCCCAATCCTGAATGTTTCCAAGACCCCGGCTTGTCTCAATATAAACACTCCAGTTCCCTCGGCAGACGATCCCTCCATGTTTTCAGATACACATGAATGCCAAGCAGGAAAGCTGGAAGCATTCCTGGCTTTGGTCCTGACCGGTCATAAACCACAAGGTCTTAAAACACAAATGTGTGGTCAGGGAAATAAACAGTGGGCTTTTATGGGAGTCCAGGGATTAAAGAGCGGCGACGTGAAAGCCACAGGCCCTGGCGATGCCGAGCTGCGGGGAGGATGCGGGTGCAGTAGCTGGACCATCTCTGCGTGGGGTGTGAATCTGAAACAGCCGTGGCGATGGATGCCAGAAAGGACATTAAAAAGTCAATCTGTCAAAATCTGGAGAATAACAAGTTGCTGCCAGCAGATTTCTTGCTCATCTCTCTCGTTCTCTATTTTCACATAGCTACGCTCCTGCCAGCGCCACGCTTCACACGTTTTGCTCTTCTGAAGCTGGGAGGAGCACAAGGGAGAGTGGCTTTGCTCCTGCTGTAGTTGTTGGACCCGGGATGCCAAAACTGACCTTGTAGTTTCAGGGTTGCGTTTATGAGTTTAGTATTCTTCATGCTGCTTCTTACTCTATGAACTACAAGTTTTCTTTTAAAAGCCAAAGAAAAAGAAATTCTAGAAGATCCCTCATGCTTGTTTACCACAGCTCTCTGGTTGGCTGGTTTGTGACCAAACCCCACGTTTTGTGCTCACAGTGAACGCTGGGGTGGAGGGGTTGAATGGGGGACACTGGCTGCCTCCGCTCCAGACGGGCCCGAAGGGAACTTGCCCCGAGCAGATGTGGTTTATCTGCTGGGGGCTGGGACAAGCATCACTTTTTTGATCTTCCATTAAATCTTTTTGGCACTCAAGCCAGAGAGGAACATCTGCTGTCCACAAAGTGCGGTCTCAACCAAAGGCATGCGGACTCATGGGAAGAAATCTCAGCTCTTCCTCAAGAAAAAGAAATATGGAAGTGATCATGTCTGAACCCACATATTGCGACACCTGCAATCTCAAGAGAACCTTGTGTTATTAAAACAGGATCTTGTGTCACTGATGGCACTGCTCAGCTGCCTGTGGCTCCGTAACGCAGCAGAGGAAAGATGAAGCATGAAACGTGCGTATATTTATACTGACAAGAGAAAAAAAAGCCCAGAGAAAGCGTTACCCCAGCACTACGCCGTCCATGGCTGACTTCAATAGAGCTACATCAATCTACCCAACCGATCGCCCCGACCCTGATTCACCCAGGTCCTGAAGTACAGGCAAAGGACCAAGTGGTTAAAAGTAAAATGGTGAGCCGTAACAGGGGTAATACCTTCTGAAGCATCCCCTGAACCAGGGTCAGGACAGTGCTCTACTGACACCCGTCAGTGCCCCGGCCAGCAGCCAGGTTGCTTTTGGCTTTGGTCAGTAAATGGGCCAGGTAGGCAAAGGTGGGTAAGAATTTGGGAGTCACAAGCCAAAAGCTTGGTTTGAGCACTTTTGTGGGACTTGGTCCTTAGCAGTCCTGGGTGAATTCGGATCAAGAGAGTTTAGTGACATGGGAAGAGGACCCCCAGCAGAGAGTAGGTGAAGATTCACACTCAGAACAAGCAACCCAACCCCACACCTCTGCTCCTTGAGCCTGTTCACTCAGCCTGGGGGTAACCCAGACCCAAGTCTCTCACTATATCAGGTGTACCCTCTCCCTGTCGTCTTTTGAAAGGAACAGCCCCCAAACACCTCTGCTCCTGCCTGCCGCAAAGGGAAGGTTTTTCCTACCTCTGGCTGCAGGATGAAACCATCGGGAGGATGCACCTCAACAGGGAAGGAGCACCTCCACCCCCGCACCACTGAGCCTCATTACTCCTATAGGCGCTACTGTTGGGTCCCGCTCCTACGTGTGCACTGAACCCCACTTCAGTACCTGACCTCTCAGTCTCTCCTTTTGCACATGAAATAAAACAACTAAATTAAAGTAACATTTCTCCAGCTCAGAAGCAGCCATAGGCAGGGAAGAAACACACATCTATGAGCATCAGCAAACAAGGGTAAGCCAAACCACTGCTGGGCGCATAAATATAAAACAGTTGGGGGTCACTACACTGATGGAGAGCATAAAAATCATCTCCCTGGGGGTAGAAGATAAAGCAGGGGATGAGAGAATGTCAGACCATGGTGAACAAAGCAAGAAAACAATGCTTTATCCCCTTTATCTCCATTATAGAAGTACCCAGAGGGTACAGCAGGTAACAGCTGCAGATTCAGCTAAACCCAAAATCACAAACATCGTAGCCGTGACTCAGACCCGGCAGCCTCGCCTCTCCGTCCTGCCCTGTGCAAGCAGGCCAGCAGCTGCATCACCCCCCCGCAACCTCCCCTGTGCACGCCGGTGCCGGAGGCTCGGGCCATCCGTGCCGGCAGCGACCGTAAGGCACCCAGCGCCCGCAGCCGCTAACCCGCACCGTGCCCTCAACGTCCAGCCTCACCCCAGGAAGGACACAAAAACCCACAGACTGCCACGCTGCCAAGAGGTGAGGCCAAGTGCCAGTCGCAGATAGTATTTTCTTTCGCTTCAGCCCTGTTAGAAAGTCAACCCTGAGCCCACTGAAGAGGAAGACACCAGCCGCTTGCCCACCTTGCAGGCCAGCAGCAAAGAACGCGTCTCAAGAAGCTGCATTCAGAAAACGCCAGAAAAAAGGGCATTTTCTGAATGCCAGCACTACATGTTATAAAACAAAATGCAGGAGGGGAAATAAAACCTACATCGTGCACTGCTTTGCAGAAAAGCCCCAGGGC